ATATGGAACCACTCACATTTACCCAAGCTATATGCCTAGCTCACGGGTAAAGCGCCAATAGGTCCGTTAAGGTGACCTTTCCCTTCTTGGTTGGAGTGGTTATCTTTCAATCCTATATAGGAGCTGAAGTAGAGAAACCAATATGGTGCAGTATCTTTTATACTTTTTGTTTTGTAAATTGTCCTGCTGGACAATTTAAGATGGCCGCCGCCACATGTTTGAATCTGTTCCAGTTAAAAGTCCAAGGGGCAGAAACAGTACTTTTGAACATGGGTTACCACAGGGCCCATAGTCCCAGGGTAGGAGGCTAGCAAACAGGCCCCTCCAAAAACCAGTGACGAAGTTGCTTTAGTCACAAACAGTTTAGTCAGAACATTTACATGAATTTTTAATTTAAATTTAAATGTAATTTTGCGTTATGCTGTTGGTGACGTCATGAGAGAAGAGCTATTAAAACTGTTGTCCTTGCCTAGAAGAACACAAGGAATAGATATCCACAATGCTGTGATGGAGGCTTTTTTGGCACAATCAATAAGACAAAAGGTTGTATCCATTACTAGTGACGGAGCACCTTGCATGGTTGGGGCAACATCTGGTTTCATACAGTTCTTTGTTAAAGAAGCAAAGCCACTTATACAGTTTCATTGTATTATACACCAGGAAGCTCTCTGTGCCAGGGACAGCAGCAAAAAAATAGAAGATATCCTCAAAGATGTCTCTAAAATGGTGAATTACATCATGGCTCGTGCTCTTAATTTTCGACAGTTTCAAGCACTTCTTGATGAGGTACATGCACAGTATAACACTTTACTTATGTACACTAATGTCCGATGGCTGAGCAGAGGACGAGTCCTGGAGAGATTTGTGGCTTGTTTGGATGAAATTAGGCTGTTTATGAATGAAAAGGGGCAAGAATATCCCCAGCTCACTGATACGGCCTGGCTTACCAACCTCATGTTTTTTACACATTTTACAGCACACTTCAATGTACTGAACAAAACACTGCAAGGTGTAGGGAAAACAGCAGAAAGGATGTCTTGTGATATCAGAACATTTGAGAGAAATCTGCAGGTTTTTGAAAGAGACATTGAAAGTGGGCAGCTGAAATACTTTCCAAATCTAAAAATACATTTGTAAAATTCTACAATATTTATGGACAATCCTCCAAGCCATCAGGAAATCCACAAGGAACTTTCTAGCACTGTAGCAGCTGCTAAGGAGAATTTTAGTAACAGATTCTTGCAATTCCGGAAAATGGAGACAACCCTGTATTTTCTCACTTCTCTAGATAAAGCCAAATATGAAGAGCTTGATATTTCCTGCTTACACTGGTTAGATTTAGAAAATCTGGAAATTAGAATTTCAAGAAAGCTCTATCTGGAAAAATAAATTCTATGCCCTGCGTGCCACACTTGAGAAGATAGAATGTGAAGGGATGACAATGGACAGCACAGTTGGTAGTTCTGAAAATGAAATCCTTAAAGTGTGGAATTCTCTGCTAAATAATTTAAGTCAATGAAAGCACTTGGGATTGCTCTTCTTTCGTTGTTTGGGTCGTCTTATGCTTGTGAGCAGCTGTTTTCAGTAGTGAATCATATGAAATCTGAAACAGACTAACAGACGAATTGAGTGCTGCATGTGTTGTTCTCAAACTAACGGAGTATGAACCAAGATTTGACAAATGTGCAGCATGTATACAGCAGCAAAAAATCCCATTAATTGTGCAAAAGAATGCTAAGTGCAAACTTTTACTAATGCAGTGTTTGTGTCCAAGACACTAATTTAGGAGTTGTTTCTAGGAGTTGTTTAAAGTGTGTTAAGTTAAGTTTAGTTTCCTTGTTTATCTTGCTCATCCTAATTCAGGTTGACATTTACTGTAACTGTAGAAGCAGAGAAAGGACCAAGAGTAAGGCTTTCCTCATACAACTTCAGTCTGGCATGTAATCATATTATAAGTTGAGTATCCCCTTGTACGCATCTATGGCACAGTTTACATGCAGTTGTGGTGCAGCTGGATGGACAGAAACCTGATGAAAAATGCATGTCCGTTGACATACATAGAAAGCTGCACCAAAACTGGATGTAAGACGGATGTAATTCTGATGTAAACTGTGCCAAAGCAGCATGTAAGATGCATGCAAACTGCAGGTGGATAGGTGGGAATAGGTCCTTAATAAGGTAAAGCACCACCGAACACCAGTGTATTTTAATTTACTAGAATTTATGTTTTTTCAATAAAAAAACAGTTTGTATCATTGAACTCTCTGTTGTTTTATTCTTCTTTTAAAACAAAAGTTGTTAATTAGTTCGGACAACTGTTAGAGTTGTTTTTTTCTAAACGTAAACCTCAGTATTCAGGTTTAATTGCCGTGTTGGCACTTTGAGGAAAAAAGTTGGCATGTATTGCGGTGTGGGCACTCGGGCTCAAAAAGGTTCGCCATCACTGCCATAGAGAATCTATGGGGCATTGCCAAGAGGAAGATGAGAGACAGGAGACCGAACAATGCAAAAGAGCTGAAGGCCACTATTGAAGCATCCTGGTCTTCCATAACACCTCAGCAGTGCCACAGGCTGATAGCTTCCATGCCACACCGCATCGAGGCAGTAATTGCTGCAAAAGTGGCCAAAACTAAGTACTGAGTCCATATGCATGCTTATACTTTTCAGAGGTCCGATATTGTTCTATGTACACTCCTTGCTTTATTGATTGCATGTAATATTCTAATTTACTGAGATTGTGGATTTGGGGTTTTCATGAGCTGTAAGCCATAATTATCGCACTTATGACAAATCACGGCTTGAACTATCTTGCTTTGCATGTAATGCGTCTATCTCATATATTAGTTTCCCCTTTTACGTTGCATTACTGAAATAAATGAACTTTTGCACAATATTCTAATTTTTTGAGTATCACCTGTACATGCACTCAATGTGAGAAGATTCTAGTTTGTTTTTCACAGTAGACGCCTGTATAGCACATATAGCTTGATGATTTTAGCCTAAGTCAGTTCATTCAATCACTACTCACTATACCTGTTGTTTGTGAATACTTTGTTTTATTCACCCATATTTTTTTTTCTTTTTGTAGTGCATAGAAAAAAAAATATACAAACAAAGTTTGATATTTTGTGAGAGTAGTGATATCAGAAGATCAGAAGATTCAGAAAGATTGGTTCAAATATATCTTGAAATATCTGCACACCTTTGTAAGGTTTAAAAGTAGAGAAAACTAGAAGTCACATCTAAGAATAGATAAATAGTATGTATGCTAAGACATCTGGTTAAAGCATAGATAGGCAGTATAAGAGAAAACTAGGACATCTGAGCTTTGTTATAGAGACAATATGAGTGTGTCCATCTGATAGACAGAGCAGGCTTTGGATCAAACTACAGCTGCTAGGGCAAAATTCATTTATTCACCCATTTTATGTTTTGTCTTTTGTTATTATTTAGATTTTTCCTAATGAAGTATTATTTTAATACATGATATTGTTAGTAGAGTTGAGCGAAACCGCACTGTAAAGTTCGGGTTCGTAACGAACTTTACATTTTTTGGACCCCGGACCCGAACACGGACATTTCAGTGTATGTTCGTGTTGGAGTTCGGTGTTCAGCAATTTAATGGCGCATTTTGAAAGGCTCCAGAGCAGCCAATCAACAAGCGTTTGACTTGTGTGCCCTTAGAAGCCATCAGAGCCATGCCTACTAATGGCATGGCTGTGATTGGCCAGTGCAGCATGTGACCCAGCCTCTATATATAAGCTGGAGTCGCGTAGCGCCGCACACACATTATTGTGTTATTAGTGTAGGGAGAGGATGCTGAGAGGATGCTGCAGCTGATTACGAAATAATTCTGGTGTTGAATCTGCAAACTACAGCGATTATTCAAACTACAGCGATTATTTTTGTGGCTGCTATAATACTACATTTTTGTACCCTGCCCTGAGCCCAGTGCCACAGAGAGTGCAGTGCTCTTGCAACTGCATGTGTGCCAGGCACATTACTTTAATCCTGTTCTGGTAGCTCAGTGGGCAACATCTAGGCATTTTTAAATACTGCAATTTTTTTGGTGCTAAATAGTACATTTGCGTACTGCATTTCTTGCAGTCCAATAAAACCCTTAAATACTACTGTTACATTGTTGGTTTAAAAAACCAAACTTTTTGGTGCTAAATAGTACATCAATTTGGTGCCTGCACTCCATATATGAGAGTCAAATAGAACCGTCAAATACTGTGCTTACATTGCAGTTTTAAAAATTCAAATGCTTTAGATACTAAAAAGTCAATTTGGTGCCAGCACTTCAAATCTGAGAGTCAAATAGAACCGTCAAATATTAGGCTTACAATGCAGTTTTAAAAATTCAAATGCTTTAGGTGCTAAAAAGTCAATTTGGTGTGTACTTCACCACTGGCTAGTTACTGCTGCTCAAGAAAGTCTAAAGACTTTTAAAAAAAGTGAAAAATAAGTGTTATTGTGATCGCTTCATATACAGAAGCATTAATATACATTTCTATATTGTGTAAAGACACAACTACAAAGTTAAAAACCAAACACCAAAACAACGTGGAATGAAGGTCATGCAAGTGACGTGTGCAGTTTGGAGGAACAGGTGCTGGTCGCACAGAGTCACCAGCACAGCATAAGAGGGAGCAGAGTGCAAAAGCGGAGCGGCCGTGCCCTAGCGCTCGTCAGCATGTATTATCTTTAGAATTCCCACAGTTATCCAAGTAACAGATGGAGCGATAACAGGAACCATAACAGATTTAACAAGCCATTCGCAGTTTTGCAGTCCGGTGACCGGGACCCAGACACTGTCTGGGCGGCGGTCGGACGACCGGGACCCAGTATGCCTGATGTTGAAGTTAGGAGTCACAGTGTGGAATGGATTAGGATGGTCTGGTGCACGGTAACCGCATGCCCCCTGGTGTTGAGCACCAGCATTTGTGCGGCCACATGCCAGGACCCTGATGCAGCTTCAGCGAGCAGCAGCAGGCGATAGTGGAGTTTCAGCTGCAGCACGCACGGGTCAGTTGCTCTGCACCAGACTTGCCCTCCAATTGATCCAAGTTAAAGGATTTAAAGTGGACTCATTACAATTACAGGGCCTCGAAAGAGTAGTGTATTGTTTTTTGTCGTCACTACTTCACCCCGCGTCAGGGGTGGGTATTTGCACGCCTGCTGCCTTCCTTGCATGTGGTAGCTGTTTCTCAGGCTCCCTCTCTGGAATCTAACCCTGATTCCCCGTTACCCGTGGTCACCATGGTAGGCGAGGAAAATTGCATCGAAAGTTGATAGGGCAGACATCCGAATGCGTTGTCGCCGTCACGGGGACGTGCGATCGGCACAAGGTTATCACAGACAAGCGCAGCCGCCTTTCCAGGGCCAACGTGGACAAGCTCATGTTTATTAAAATGAACCAGGCATGGACCCCACCAGACTTGTCTGTACCTTGTGCAAAATAGACATTTATACCGGCCTCACCCAGGCATTGTTGTACTCAAGTGCACTTATTCTTTTTATTCTTTTTTTATATGTATGTATGTCCCAATATTTTGGGGGCTACCCCAATTAAAAAAAATAAAATAATAAAAAACAGTGTTGGCTACCTCCTCCTCCTCCACCGCTTCCACCTACACGGCCATGGTGTATACTCAGATATATCAGAGCTGCTGCAAAAAGTGTGGGCCGTCTGTGCGCGCTTTTGGCGTTCTCACCCTGCTGCTGCTCACCTGTCTGCGCTGCAGTGTAACTTCGGCCTTGCACATGCTGGAGAGACTGTGCGAGCAGCAGCAGGCGATAGCAGAGTTTCAGCTTCAGCACGCACGGGTCAGTCGCTCTACGGAACAGCACCACTTCACCACCAATGAGTGGGCTTCCATGCGACACCTGTGTTCCATGTTGCGCTGTTTCGAGGACTCCACCAACATGGCCAGTGCCGCTGACGCCATTCTCAGCCTTACTATCCCGCTTCTATGTCTCAACTGAAAAAACGCTTTGGGTGATGATAGAAGAGGATGTGGCACAGGAGGAAGAGGAGGAGGAAGAGGGGTCATTTCCACGGCTATCAGGCCAGTCATTCACAAGTGGCTCGGAGGGTGGGTTCCTGCACCAGCATAGGCCAGGTACACAATTGTCCAGCATCTCCACACTGTCCCATGGAAGCGTTCAGCTGTCCATCTCCCAAACACTGGAGAGAAAGAGGAAGTACCCCCCTAGCCACGCGCTATCCCTGGCCCTGAATGTCAGCATTTCAAAATTCCTGGCCTCCTGGAAATGCTGTCATTCCGTCTAGTGGAGACGGACAGTTTTAAAAACCTGATGGCGTTATTGGACTGCAAGAAATGCACCGCAGGCCACAAATGTTTCATTTTTATATGTCCCAATATTTTGGGGGCTACCCCAATAAAAAAATAAAAAAATAAAAAAAACAGTGTTGGCTACCTCCTCCGCCTCCACCGCCGCTTCCACCTACACCGTCATGGTCACTGCCTCCTCAACCTCCTACTCCACATCCACCTCCTCCTCCTAGAGCAATGTTCAAAAGCGAAGAGTCCGTCCCCTAGACAGTATGCCTGCTACTGCCCACCGCACCCAGGGACAAAGCACACCAAAGCCAGCTCCAAGGAGTTCCCTGGCGTGGCAGTTCTTCAGACAATGTGCTGATGACAAGACACGAGTGGTTTGCACACTGTGCAATCAGAGCTTGAAGCGAGGCATAAACGTTCTAAAACTGAGCACAACCTGCATGACCAGGCATCTACATGCAAAGCACGAGCTGCAGTGGAGTAAGCACCTCAAAAACCAATAAAGGTCTCAGGCTCCTCCTGCTTCCTCTTCTGCTGCTGTCTCGACCTCTTCCTCCACCTCTGGAGTGACAGTGGCACCTGCCACCCCGCAAACAGAGGATGTAGCAGCAACGCCACCACGTCTGCCACCGTCCCCATGCATCTCCACACTGTCCCATGGAAGCGTTCAGCTGTCCATCTCCCAAACACTAGAGAGAAAGAGGAAGTACCCCCCTACCTACCCGCGATCCCTGGCCCTGAATGCCAGCATTTCAAAATTCCTGGCCTTTGAAATGCTGTCATTCCGTCTAGTGGAGACTGACAGTTTTAAAAACCTGATGGTGTTATTGGACTGCAAGAAATGCATTGCCGCAAATGTTTCTTTTTTTTATGTGTCCCAATATTTTGGGGGCTACCCCAATAAAAAAAAACTAAAAAAACCAAATAAAAAACAGTGTTTGCTACCTCCTCCTCCTCCACCGCTGCTTCCACATACACTGCCACGGTCACTGCCTCCTCAACCTATGGGTCACTTAGTATAAACTATATACACGATAGCAGAGGCTTGTGAAAGGCCTTTTCTCCATGCATCAGGAGTTGAGCTAAGTTTGAACAATGAAAGAAAATACCCTGCACTCCAACCCTCTCTCAAATGGATAATTCTGGTGATCCTCCTGACAGCCATGCTTTAGATTTTGATTTATGTTCTTCTAAAGCTAAAATCAAAGATTCCATCTAGTGCTATTTTATGGCTCAGCTGTATTTTTAATTATAAGTATTTTATGTTATTTTAAGTGATTTCCCTATCCGCATTTGTTTGCAGGGCACTTGTCCTACTCTTACCCCCATTGTACTTCCCATTCCAGGACTTTTTTAGAGCCATTTTTGTGCCCAAAAGTTCGGGTCCCCATTGACTTCAATGGGGTTCGGGGTCAAGTTCGGGGTCAAGTTCGATCCCGAACCCGGACTTTTTTCTGAAGTTCGTCCGAACCCGCCGGACCCGAACATCCAGGTGTCCGCTCAACTCTAATTGTTAGCAGTTACTACTATTTGTGGTGCCCCTTCCAAATGCTTTGGGGGAATGTTTTGAGTATTTTTAGTAATGCCAAAAAGAAGCCATACAGGCTTTACTGCTTTTAAACGATTACTTAATTAATAGCATGCACATCAAAAAAGTAAAGAAGGGATAATAAGTGTCCATTTGTTAGCCTAATTGCATATAGTCAAAGAGACAGAGCAACAAGTTATCTCAGTTTGTCTTGGTTGAGCTTACGCTGTGTATGAATCATTATAGATTTTCAGCAGTGTGAGCACTTGTCGTGCAATTAAAGAGACACTAGAATCACCAGAACAACTACAGCTTAATGTAGTTGTTCTGGTGAGTATAATAGCTCTCTTCAGGCATTTTCATGTAAACACTGCCTTTTCAGAGATAAAGCCGTGTTTACATTTGCCCCATGGACACCTCCAAGTGGCCACTCCTTAGATGGCCACTGGAGGGGCTTCCTGGCTCAGGGCTGCACAGTAAGCGAGCCGTTCGGCGTCCCCACGCTCTGCATGACACTATCTGGATGACATTTCCTGATGGTCTGGTTGAGCTGCCCAAATCTGTGCACATCAAGGATTTGTCAAGAAAAAGGGAAATTGATTATTAAATGTCTGGGTTCAGTGCTTGCTAAATAATCACATTTAAATGATCCCCTGGTGCAGGTTACTGGTTTGCACCCTCCACTGCCACCCCCTGTCAGGATTACTATCACAGCACGCACAATTGTATCACACCTAGAACTAAAAGGTAACGTGTTACCAAGCTTTAGAATGGCCGGTCTTAATATACCAAAGAATAGTCAGGATACTTGCCGAGGTCAGGTACACAGAATGGGACACAACGATGAGGGAAAGCCAAAAGTCAAGGATACCAGAAATCAGATAAATCAGAACAAAGCCAAAGTCAAATACCAAAATATCAAAATCAGGAACACACTCTCGGATAACCATTAGGCAGAAACAACAGCAGGGCAATGAGAGAATGTAAAAATTAGTTTAAATAACCCTCCTGTTATTCCAATTGGTTGTGACCGACCTTTGACCCCAAAATGTGCGCGCGCCTGATCTCACACGAATGCAGACGTGGGGTTATAAAGTGACATAGATCCTCAGCGGCCGGCATCCCTAGACATTTATCAGGTATCCGCATGGTTGCAGATGGGCACAACTATTCCTGTCAGGACAGTAAATACCATCATGAACATTTCTATGTTTTTAACAAAGGGATGAGGGATGGTGAATGGGGCCAGGATAATTCAGAGTTCCAGGGCCCAGGACCAATTTTGCTGCTTTAAGGTAATACTGCTCTGAGTAAGTTGAGTAATAAAGGCAGTGGTGTATCCTGGTTTTGTGCTGCCCTAGGCAGGACAAAACTCAGGCGTCCCACTCCCCACCCCCACCCAACCCTTCCTCCCTGCCTTGCCTTCTAAATACACACACACACACATTCACTGACAGATACGCATACACTAGCTAACACACACTCACACTTACTAACAGACAAACACACTCACACTCACTAACAGACACACTCACTCACACACACTAACAGACACACTCACTAACAGACACACACACATTCACTCACTAACAGACGCACACTCACTCACTCACTAACAGACGCACACTCACTCACTAACAGACACACACTCACTCACTGACGTACACACACTCACTAACAGACACACATACACACACACTCACTCACTAACAGACACACACACTCACACAAACACACACTAACAGACACACACACTAACAGACACACACACACTAACAGACACACACACTCACTTTTTTTTATTTAACCCCCCTCCCAGCCTCCTTACCTTTGGGAATGCTGGGTGGGGTTCCCTCTCTCCCTGGGGGTCCAGTGGCTGCTCAGCTCCCTCGCGCGAGGCCCGCAGAGTGAGGCTGGGAGCCGGAATATGACATCATATTCCGGCTCCCAGCCTCACTCTGCGGGTGCCGCGCGAGGGAGCTGAGCAGAGAGCTCAGAGGAAGTGCTCCTTCGCCAGCGCCGCCCGCCCATCAGCCCGCCCAGCATGTCTGTTAGCCGCAAGGCTAACAAGGCATTTGCCCGGGCATTTAGGGGTGGCTTTTTTTGCCGCCCCCTGGAAAATGCCGCCCAAGGCAAATGCCTTGTTTGTCTCGCAGCTAAAACATCTCTGGCTGTAAGGTGATTCCTGTCAATGGCTTCTCTTGGTAAGTATGTAATAAGGGCCAAGATGGGAGAGTGGGAGTAAAAGCTCTTGTATTGCTACAAGTTTTTCAGTTCATGTAAGAGTGTCAAGAAGTATAAAAAAAAAAAAAAGCCTATGAGTCAACGATTACAGCTTTTCTCCAAAGAGATTGCAACACCAGGCATTAGCACACACACAGCAGTAGTGTCTGAGTTCCTGCAAAGATTTGTGGGTTCTGGATTATTTTTAGATATCCGGGATGGGTTGAGATACCAACACCGTTTTAAATTCCTTCTGTTTTTTGATTAACACAAATAGAAAAGGCAGTAATGAGCTCCCAAATATTGCTCAACTCTTTCCCATGTAAGAAATTATTCAAATCGTTCACCCAGGACTAGGTAATCTAAAGAGTTCCTAAAAAAATAGATTTATAACTAGAAGATCATAGATAGTGGAAATAAGTTAAATACAAAAAATGTCAAACAATATGCTCACTATGACACTGCTAAATTAAAGCCAATGCACGCTGAGCTTAAAAACTGTCAATATGTGGAATAAAGGAAAAGCACTTTATGTGAAAGCGCCCATGAGCAGTAAATTACATTTTCTTGAGAAATCCCTGATGTGTACAGATTTGTGCAGCTGAAAAATCTGTAGCGAAGG